CTATCTGACTTTGTTATTAGAGGAGCAAATACCAGAGGCGGCAGTGCAAACAGACAGAAATGCTAAATGTCAATCAGCTGTCTCACCCTGACCTTACCGGATGCACCCCCACCGTAAGCGGGTTGAGAGGAGAAGAGACATGAGTGAGGGTGTTCTTTGTAGCCAGTGTAAATCACTCACTCCCAATCTGGAATCCCTGGATGGGGAGGAGGGGAGGATACTCCCAAATGAAGCAGGGATGTGGAGTTTTTAGAAAGTCTGAACTGAACCTATTGGTCTTAAAGTGAGAGTTCAGTTTAAATTTAAGGATAGTTCAGGAATCACAGCTTTTATTGATAAAAGCCTCTTTTATAGAAGATTTTGGGAAGACCACAATATTTTTATGTTAAAAAATATTAAGTTGACAAAATTTGAAAATATGACTGGGTAATTATATGTTATTGGAAGATATTGTTGACAATACAATGTTGGCACCAACTGTAGCCTTAAAAGGGCAGCAGTATGTGTTTTCCCGACAAATAATCCCATTTCATACCACAATCAAGTAATTATGTTCACTTCAGATTTAAAAAAAGTGCTATCTATATCAAATGTGACTTAAAAGAAAATTGACTTCATAATTTAACTCCTTGAAATTGGGCCTCTGTCGCTTTAAAAACTTCTGCTCTTTCTGAAACTCTGCCTTTAGGAAGTCATCACGACATGGCCCCTCTATTTAACAATGTTCTTTCTTTCTTTCTTTCTTTCTTTCTTTCTTTCTTTCTTTCTTTTTACCAGTGTTGCAATGAGAAGTAGCTCCTATAAAGAGCTCAGCAGATATGCTGTTCCACCAGGTGTTTGCTAATTGCTGAGGGCTAGTCTGAAGGAGCTGAGTGGAGGTGAGGGCTGCTCTGTAAGGCGGAAGCTCTGAAGCCTGAAAACTCCAGTTCAGAGGAGGAGCTGCACCTCAAAGGTGGAGCTGGGTCCCAACAGGCGTTTTGCACAGCTCAATGTTGCCATGGGAAATTAAAGGATCTCTCAAATATGATCGGCGGGAGTACAGCGAGGCAGACCGTCTTTTCTCATGTCTATTGATTAATCAGGCGATTCAGGAATGATGTTTGGAATTAATAGCTATTAGTTAAGCACATTTTCTTTAAAATAAGGTAAAGAAAATGTGATCGTCGATGGACAGAAAAAAACTAAAAACCACTCGTTCAATTGTATCCTAAGGAGTGGAGAGATGCATGCTCAAAAGAAAGAAAACATCAATGAAGAAGATTAATAAAATATGTCTACAGAGGTAGAAGGGTTTGATAATTCCATATAAAAACACCTACACCGAGATCAAGCCCACTGACAAACACTAGGAGGTAAATGCCTGGAAAAGATGTGGAAAAAAAAAATATTTTGTTGCACTGAAGAATTTACATAAATTTCCTTTTGATAAAAAAATATTTTAGTGGAAAATGTCCCATCATGGAAAAATAAATAGTAGTTTTCAATAAAATCACTTCAAGTCAAACACAATGGTTGGTAGACTCAACACTCATTCAACAATAAATGTAACTGAAACATTTTCTGTCTTCTTCCTCTTCTTCTAGGAACTTAATAATTAATTCATGACTCTCTGTGACCCTGCGATACGTTAGGATGAGGCACCAAGGACCATTTCTTAGCGTCTGACCCTAAAGCTGAACTAGGAGTCATATTTATCTTGTCAGCATGCACAGAAAGCAGAAAAAAAAACAGAACAATTTTTTTCTAAGGCTCACTGTTGGAGAACTGCAGCAAAGAGTGGCAACTTGGAATCACCAAGCCCTAACAACCATTATACCAAATCCACTTGGCAATTGGTCGTTTAGCAGCGATGCCAGGAAAAAGCCTTTTCCGTCTTCCCACATGTGGAGTTTGCCAATCTCTTCTGGGACCTAAACTGGAACATGTAGTTTGATCAGATGAGATTAAAATTTAGCTTTGCGGTAAAAAACAAAACAAAAAACAAACACTCAATGTAGCTGGGGGGTGAAACAAAGAGCGGCAAAGACGAAAAGCTGATCAGGCAACTTGATGTGATCCTTTCAATAATTAACAGATAAGATTAGGTGGTTTATTCTAGGTAGGTAAACCGGCTCTGAAGCTGCATTCTCAGGACAGATTGTATCAGAATCACATTCAGTTGAGTTTGATACAAACAAAACTGGTATTGTGGTTTATTTGAAAAAGTGCAGACTGTCTTCTTCGCTCTGAATTCATACCAAAGGAGCGGACTGAGTCTTCCAACAAACTAATGTAACCTTTGAACTGAGTACAGACTCAAACCAGCCAGACATGATGCTCTTCTGTCTCCATTTTAAACTTGAACTGATTCTTCTCAGGAGTGCTGTAGGAGCGTTGACGCGTTTTACGAGCGTCTGACGCAGCGTCTCACTTACATGTGCAACACAGTACCACCTGCTGCTAGTTTGACTCGTTTCTATATTTTCATAAGTTCTTTGTGTCATCCCCACTGGTAAAAATATCCTTAAAGCCGCTTAGATCCAAACTCTGCTCATATTCAGGCAAATGCAGCAGACTTACAGGGAAGGCGTTCACCTTACAGACAGAAAAAGACACAAATGATGCAGCTACAACAAACCGCTTTTTCAGAATAAGGAGATTAAGTATTGTAGTGTAAAGTCCCACCAAGCTTCCCTTATTGAAGACAAGACTAGAGGAAGAAAGCCTGGCAAAGAGGAAAGTTAAGAAAAACCCCGCTTGGTTCACGTGTTTTACAATCAGTTGTGATTCGCAAAAGAATCAAATAGTTTTTATTTAGTCAGTACAAGATGAGTTTCTGAAAATAAAGGTCTAAAATCCAATGTATTGACTGTTCAAATTCATTGTTATGCCTCGCAAAGGCAACATGCGAAAAAGTCCCTAGGAGACGTTCGGTGAGAATTTCAATCACTGCATTTTATATTCTGTTGTGAGCACAGCACTGGTAATAGAAGCTCTGCTGTGTAGAGACCTGATAATACATTTAGCAATTCAGATCGAATTAAAAAGTTAATGCAGAGTGAATACTTAATGTGCCTCAATGTTTATTTAATCATCGAATGGAGTTTCTGAATTTCATCAGTTAAAATGACGATGTAAACCAAACGAGGTTCTGGAAATGGTTCAATCATTTCCTTCTCCTTTTACTGAAGTTTTTATGTTTTAAATTTATCAATCCATCCATCGTTTATGCTGTTTATTCTTGCGGGGCTGTGACGGTTTTCATCATTGCTTAAGACGGAGTATACACCCTGGTCAGGTCAACCCACCCACCCACCCACACACACACACACACACACACACACACACACACTTAAAGTGTAACTAAACCTCCTGTGAAAACTCCAAATTTGACCCCATTTTTGAAAAGTTCCATCAATCTGCGCCAAGAGCAAAACAGTTTAGGTGGGTCAGGATGAGGGAAATCCCTGTTGCCAACTTGGCAATGTTGTCGTTATGTTTAATGACTTTTCAGACGCCTCTGGCAACTTTTTTAAAAACGCAATGAGCGACTTTGTTCTGTGTTATTGGAGACATTTGCGACAACACATGAAGCACCAATCGCTGTGCAGTAACTGACCCGAATGAGAAAATTCAACCCAAGGAATAACAAAAGGTGGCAACAGTTTATACAGCTTCACCGTATAAATAGTTGACTTGGGGTTGGTAGGCTAAAAGAAAAGAACAGTAATGTATTTGTTAGGGTTTTATACACTTCGAACTGTCATGCTGTGTAAAGTTCAGAATCCGTCCATTTTCCCAAACTGCAAACACGGGCGACCATCCTGTAAATGTTCCAACGGAAAGTGAAGATCTGAGTAGCAACAAAATTCATATTTAAATTTGTATCTTTGAACAATCACAGTATCAACAGCATAAGAGAAGTTCTTGGTTTCGACATAAAATAAACTGGGAGAGTCAACTTTCTTTAAAGTGTCAGTAAGTTGATGGTACTGAAGATTTTCTGAAGAACTTTTGCAAACAGCTAAGGTCAAGTGATATTAAAGCCAAAATCAATGTTTTATATAAGCTTATTGGTTAAAGAGGAATTTAACTTGTTCTATACATCATCATTTTTGTGAGTTTATTGATTTTTTACATAGTTGGTAATTTTCGGATTGATAACATATGTATTATTTTTTCTTTTCTCTTCTTTTTAAATGTACTTCTCATATCATTTGTACACTGTGTGTGTGTGTGTGTGTTATTGTGTAATGAAGCTAAGAAAAACAATCAGGTTTAGGCCAGGTCTTTTCTACAAGTATTCATACCGGTATTACCCTTCAATGGAGGACAATTAAAGAGCTCCTGTGTGTGTGTGTGTGTCTGTGTGTAATCATGCTCATATGGTAGATGTTCACACACATCCAGGCGCACACATGCAGCCCACATGCTCCAGTAGCAGATGGTTCAGACAGGATGCCAGAGAGTTCCTGCTCTTCTCCGATCGGCACGCGCCAATCACAGGGTTTGAAGAAGAAAAAGGGAAACAATAAAGAAAAAGTAGATATGCTGGAATAACTTGTTAACCGTTCGGATCCTTGTGTCCTCGGTGACTGAACTGTGCGGCCATGTGTGTGTTTCTGAGAACAACCCGGCCAGAATGAAGCACAAAACACATGAGAAAACATGCACCGACTCCCTGGAGGGCGCATTTAGGCAGTAATGAGCAGCAGATCTACCGTGCTGGAAGGACAGAAGAAGGCAATTACAGCTGAACGCCCTTCCAGGTTGCGGCCCGCGGGGATAGAAAGACGGTAGAGGAGAAGGACTGTGTGTGTGTGTGACTCGGCAGGGAGGCCAAAGGACTACAGGACAGGCAATGAGATCCATCTGCTGCCGGTTGTGACCAGTCTGCTCACCCAGTCTCTCTCGCTCATTCACCAATAAAAGAATGGAAGTAGCAGAAAGCAGCGTTTCACCGAGAAGGTGTGAACATTTACTACAGCAGAGCACCAAGTGAGTGTTTTCTGTGTCCACACCTTCTCTTTCCAGTGGAGGATGCCGATAATCACAAGGATGAAGACGCACACGCCGATTAGAGCGATGGCCGTCAGCAGGACGCTGTTGCTAGGAGTGAGGTACAACTTAGCGCTCCATCTGAAAAGAGAAGAACAGGAAGACGTCACACACCACTACGGTTGTAGCCTCTAAAAACTTTGGTGTACTTGGACATCGAACCATTTTCTATGGCTTAAATGTTTTGCTGTTGGATTAAAAATTGTAGCAAACTAAGATCACCACCTCCAAACTGTGAAAATGTTTCTCAGTGTACAGCAGAGCACAAGATTTACATATGGAGGTACAAACATCAGTTTTATACTGTGTGAAGGTGGATAAAAGTGTAATATCTATAAGCCTTTTCAGGTAAATAGAACCACAGCTTTTTTAGTTGACATGAATTGTATTTTAGCTTCATTGCAATGCAATTGCTTTGAGTACTTATAACCTTGGTTTAGGTAGTAAGAAGATAATCTAGACTAAATTGTGTAAAATATTGGCACACACATGAACTTGAATGACATCTCATCCTTAATGCCAAGGCTTTAAAATGACGTTGGTAAAACCTTTGCAGCTGTCCATGAGGTTTTGGAGTGTTTATGGGAACATTTGTCTAGGGGAGCGTTGGTGAGGTGAGACCCTGATGATGGATGAAAAGGTCAGAGTCTACTGCCTCATCTCCACCGAGCGTTTCGGTATGCTGTTTTATAGTCCGACATATTCAGAAGAGCGTATCCACCACCAGTTAGACGTTGTCCAGGCATCCAAAAATGTGCACCCTCACATCAAGTTTTGGTTCTGTCGGCCTTTTTTTTCTCCGCTGCAGCAGCATGAGGAAAAACCTTAATGTTCCCAAGTAACAGAGCTTAGAGATGGCTTGAAATTTCCTCCTTTATTATTTCTGGTGTCAACAGAAAAGTACAGCTATGCCATACTGTAACCTAGTATGCAATGGGAAAACAAACATTCCAAGATCTTAAAGGAATAAGTTCACACTGCTAATATTGCACAAGTGTGATTTGGTCCAGTTTATATCTATAACCAAGAGAAAGTGTTGGTATTTCGACAGCGCAGGCAGAACACAAACCTTTTACCAAAGAGTGGCTGAGTTAATTTGTGTCCAAAGAATAAGAGCTCTTCTTGCTGCATTGAGCTCCAGCTGTGAGGCATCACAGAAGGACTATTGTTGCTGTTCTTCCTTCCCATTTTTCACAAAGGAAACAATCAAAGAACTAGAGTAATCCCTCTAAAACTGTCATCATTTTGAAACCTTCGACAGCTAAGTGGTTTTACACCTGGGTGTAACGTATGGAGGGGGAGGGAGACATGTGAGTGTGTGTTTGTCAGAGACGAACTGCCATCTGGAGCTCCTCCTGGGCTTTCATAACAACATGCGAACAGCACCGTAATAACACCCGCACAAACGCTGCGATGCCGTGGTGTTTGCTCACCGGGCATTGTATTCCTCTGAGAGACAACGCCGACACCGTCTGCAGCAAGCTGAAAGAGCTCGAATAAAACCGTGAATGGCATGAGTGTTTAACTCTGTCCGTGGCAGCAGTTTACAAGAGAGACGTGTGTGTATGTGTGCGTGTGTATGCTTTTCACGTTTCAACTGAAATGTTTTATGTCTACGGTGAGTGTTACTGACCTGCGGGGAGTATTGTGTGGGAAGGGAATGACTATGAGCTGAGAGTTGGGAATGATGGCCGTCCACTCGTGTTTCCTCGTTTCCTAAAAAGAGAGAAAGAAAACCAATAAACTTAAAGATGGTACATGGTTACAATATTTTAATTTTAATTTGTACTGAGGGAACCTAAAAGACGTGGACATTTCTGTGCTTACCTAAAGCTTTTATGACAGTCTATCAGTTGAACAAAGCCGGATTTATTTAAGACTTTTCATAATCTGAAAACAATCATATTTTACCGAAAGTGACTAAGGCAGTGTATCCAACGTCTCGGGAAAAACACCTTGAACCTTTCACATTTTACTACGTTACAACTAGGGCTGTTACTTTAACATTGTTAACTTTGATTAATGCATTACATAGTGTGGCAAATTTAATTGTATTTTTGTTGCTTTTATTTTTTTATACATACGAAAGTCCAGAGCATTTCTGGTACGCCAGTATCGCTGATGCAGAAGCTACATCTGCAAACAAGGCAACTAACGACAAGCTGGTCCTGAAGAAACAATCTGATGGGATTCAGGAAAAAACTACTGTTGTGTTCAGATTGTGCTTCAAGGAGTCAGTGAAGCTATTCAAGCCTAAAATAGCATCTCAATGCTAACCATGTTGCTGCAGCGCAAACTGGAGCCACATTTCTAAAGAAGTTTCATGAATGATCAGGAGTTTTTGTAACAGTTGAAAGCTGAATGGTTATAACAGCATCAGATGGTTGAATAACCTAAATAAAAGATTAAATACACATATGTTGAGCTCATATGTCTGTCTATTCAATAATCTAGCAGTAAAAGGAGTTTTGGAATTGAAAATGTTGCTTAATTTGTTTATTTGATGCGATCAACTTCTGTTGATTACAGAACCTAAAATTAACTCGACTAAAACTTTTAATCAGTTCCCACTACTTGCTTCTTAAGGCAATTTGACATTTTTCAGATTTTTTTTCTGCTCTATCAGATAAAATCTCAATAAAGCACATTGTATTTTGTGTTAGTAATGTGACAAAATCTGGGGAGGGACCTGAGATGTGAATACTTTCTCGACACCCTGCAGCAGCGTCAACAGAAGAGTAAGCTGAGAAAAAAACACGAGAGGTGAGAGACAGCAGATTGTAATTACTAGAAACACATTAAGGCAGGAGCGAGGATTAAGGTGTAATTATACAGAAAATTAAAAACCTGGAGAAACGACTACGTTTCTTATCAGAAATATGTCTTAAATTATAGAGGTTAGCTTGACGTCTAGTTTTACCTGTCATTTACCAGGTAAGCACACAAACAAACCCAGCATCAGGAAAAGGACAAAAGGACAAACATCATTGTGTTCCAGTGAACTGATGGTAGAGGCAGCTCTGTGTGGGCGACGCTTGACTGACTGGGCCAGAAAACTTCATAACGTCTGACACAGCCGGGCAGCGCCTGGTTTTACAAACAGACTCATAATCTGAGATGATTCATTACAGATTTATATTACAACCTCTGCATTTTATACTATTTCTTT